ATGTCCGATGCCTTCACTGGGTTAGTGGACATGGAGAGTCCACCTAGGGGAGTTGGAAAACCCTGATTCGAAACCAATGGTGCACATTGGCTCCAGAATCCTGAAAGAACAAATAGTGTATGAACAAATCATTGGTCACCAGCTGCCATGAGACTACATATCCCTACGATACTCCACTGCCTTGTGGATCAGATCTTTAGGTCAAAGGCTCCGGGAGTGGTCCCTTATGGAAACCATCTGGTTTGGTTTAGTCACTCAGGTAGTACCATACCCCACACACAAATCAAGTGACTTGTTTAGCGTATATGTATTCAGTGCCCCTTCGTACCAATATTTATGTGATCAAATAAATAAATAAATGAATGTCCACCATCAGTCTATTTTCTTCGCTAATTAGAACTAAAAGTTTACTTAAATATTGAACGATAAACATTATATTATACTCCCAACAGTAACATACAATGGGTTTTATGGAGTTTGTAGTAATTCCAATCGGTGAAATCACTAGTCCATTGAAGCTAGACCACCATGGAAAACCTGGAAGCACTTGACGGCCGTTTCATCCTATTGTGAGACTCTTCAACTGTGTGCATCCACGACCTCGCTTCGCGGGATTTGAAACCAGGAGCTATCGGTTTCGTGCGTGAGTGCTTCTAGGTTTTCCATGATAGTCTAGCTTCAATTAACTCATGATTTCAACTATTGAAAGTAACATACTTCTTTCAAACAGATAGTTTCATTGACAAAAGTTGATGATCCAACTTTTAATGTTATCTATTTGTACTATTAGTTCATATGAGTAAAGAAATAGTAATGTAATGATTATAAGATAAATGTATACAAATCTCAGCATAATCACTATGATATGGAGCAAATACCAAAAAAAAATTGATTGACTATCTAAGTATGTTGTTGTACAAAGTGATTTCTGTTCAAAAAGTTTTAACACTAAATAAATAATTAGTTTTATTAAAAGGTAAACAATAATTCCCCCCCCATAGGTTGTTCTTATTTTATCATTTATGAATCTGTTTATTTGTTTATCATAATGAGATGGTAACAATAATAATAAAGCATAACAAAAATGCTCAGTGTTGAAGATACTACACCTAATGAACTTTGATCATTCATAAGCATACGGTTGAAATAGATAATGATTAATAATGGAATAAAGATGAGAATGTTGACTATAGTGGCACAATGGTTAATCAGGTTTATGATTTTATTATCTTTATTAATGACTTAAAGATGGATGCACATACACAAGCAAATATACCTGCTCACATGCATACACACACACACGTAATATATATGGATGAAGAAGCGCTCCATCTTGTTGTTAAACCATATTGATTCTAAGTGTTAGTGTATGCTTATTTATATTTGTGATCAGTAACATTTGTGCATTAACACAATTAGAGAAAATAATGTATGTTTGTTTTTGTTGAGCACACACACTTTATACACTTCACACTTGAATACTATTTTTAGTAATCAACGTTTTTCTAATAAAAATCACCAATCATTAGAATATGATTTCTCTAAATTAGTCTTGTACTCAGTAAAATAAGTCGATAGTGGTAAAAGGTCGATGATGCGCTAACATCACAAGTTATGATGAAGTCCTGAGTTCAAAACTCGCGGGGAGCGGGATCGTGGATGCGCACTGCTGAGGAGTCTCATACTAGGACGAAACGGCCGTCCAGTGCTTCCAGGTTTTCCATGGTGGTCTGGCTTCAACTGACTCATGATTTCAACCTGTGAAATTTCTAAAATCTCCACAAAACCCATTCTGATATGATGAGGATAGTTTCAACTGGGGAGTTGTGGAATATAAGTATGAGACATTTAGACCATCTTGTATATCTGTCCGAAGGACTACTAGCTCTATTCTGTTTATTTAAATTCCCTGGGATTAGGTTTGTTCTTCATAATAAGTACAAAACCAAACAACAGTATATATTTTTAAACTAGTAGACTGAGCAGTGATCAGACAATCTACGATAATGATTAAAGCTGAAACGATTAAAATTCATCTTATGTCCAGTATGTGAGTGATCTAACCATTTAGATGTACCTTCCTCATAGTGACAATGTATCATAATGAGACTCAAACCAAGTACTTTACGCTTCAAATCCTAATATGATACCAAAATTGCTAATGAGCCGGTCAAAGGATATGAAATTGTCAGAAAGAGTTCCGAATTTCACGTTGGTGATATTTAATACGAAAGTTCAAGTTTCTCTATCCGAAAAATTTCCAATAAGATGAAACGCGCGTCCCAGCCATATGTCAAATACACTGCAGATTCCCTTCAAATATTGAATATGATGGCTCACACATGTTTGAGGTGAAAACAATAGGTAAAACGAAAAAGATATAATACTAACTTGGAAGAACACAAAGAGTGGATGCACCTGCGCCATTATAAACGATTTTGAGCCATGTCATTCAGGCTCTCTAACCATCGGTTGCTATCATCTCATGGATCCCAATCACGTAGTCTACACCTACCAACATGACTCACTCTGTCCACTTGTCAGTGACTTCATGGATTTGTGCCATATTTTAGTCTGGCCGTCTCTAACTTTCTTCCAACCTACTTCTACACCATAAAACATTGCACGTCGAAGCAGTCGGTGGTTGGGCATACGTAACACGTGTCTCAGCCATCTCAACTGATGAAGTTTCACTACTTCATCAATTGATTTGCCATCCTTGCCTTGAATCCAAGAAGTGATTTAAGCGTAATAAACAAGTACATGGCGATTCTTTTGTTTTGATGTTTGTACTCAATTTTAAAAACTCTTAGTCCAATCCTACAAAGTATGATATACACACATGAGTGGTCAGGTATTTTTATCATTGACAGTATTTAGTCAATTCATTTTCATTTCACAAAAGAACAAAGTCAATCAATAACCATCTACAGCTTTATACTTTTAGTTCCATATTACATTTATTATGAGATAGATCTTAGAAATTACGGAAATGAAAAGAGACAGCCTTGACCTAATGAATGAAAATTATTAACTACAAACTTCAGTGTAATAATACAGAATCAGCTTTATATAGTTGATGAAATTAACATGATAATAAGCATTTAAAACATGCTTTTTAGTGAAAAATTATACATCTTAGTAAACAAAAACAAAAGAAACAATAAGCTAATTAATCAATTGATGACGTGAAATAACTGTTAAACTAATTAATAGTTCTCCAATTAGAATGATGTTCGTTAACAAACCCCATTTTTACACAAGCATGTGACTATCAAGACTTAGTAACTAAGTGGATAACGTAATGGCATTTGAAGCGGATGGTACTGGGTTTGAGTCCCAGAATTTGAACACCAACTCTGAGATGACGGTTGATCCAGCTGAAATGTACCAAATAAGACGAGATGCATGTCCTGGATTCTACTACTAGCCACTATCCATTTTTTGCTTGTAAACTCATGTTTTTTTTCTAGTATTTCCATTTGTGTATATGTGTAATTAAGTACTTGAGTGAAGCATTTAAAGTGACATACTTGTATATGAACACAAACATTCAGTTTATGACTCAGAAATTGTTTACATATATATATATATATATATATATATATATATATATATATATATATGTACTTTCACAAATACTGACATGAATATACAACAATATTATAAGTAAATAAGTTGATTTATTTATACCACTACTACTAATAACTTCCTTGTAAAAGTAGTACAAGTGATCGATCAGGTTTAAGACATTTTCCTATTAGGCTATGAAAGATATTGATGACTAACATGAGTTTTGTAAAACTATAGGTTTAGTGAGATGGTGATTTACAGATAACAAATGAGAAACGCTAAAGTGAACTTGAGAATATCCACCTACTAACTAGGACTAATTTATGGTTATAAACTAGTGTGAATTGTGATTTCTAGTTAGGTTAGGAATTACATTTAGGGTTTTTATCATGAACTGACATCAGCTATGATGACAAAACGCTATTTAGACAAATGAATGAATGAATTTCGCTTCAAAATCAAATATCTGTTATCTAAAATTTGACTGGTTCATCCATAAATTATAGGCTCTTTGCAGGTCTATATTCTAAGTAATTAACTTTCAGCCAGTCCATCAGTATATTACCAACCAAAGTATGATCAGATATTTAATGTTATTAGCATACATACAATAATTGATATCTCCATGAAAATGTATAAGGCTACATAAGGTTAATGATTTCATCAATTTAAGATTCGAAAGCGAGCCATCATTTTGAAGCAATAATTAACTACAAAGTAGTTGTTGTTTTTAGAGTTTTGAGATTAGTTAATTTATTTCTCTTAAAAGTTTGAGATACACTGAAATACATAAATGAAACTCAACTCAAATTCCTACAATAATCGATGTCATTGAGCTCGTGAGCTGATCAGTGTTAGACCACCATCGAAATGATGGACGTACTGGATGGAGGTTTTGTCATAGTATGAGACTCCTTAGCAGTGAGAATCAATGATCCTGTATGGAGTGTGAGGCAGTCACTCACCGAAGACAATCGGAGATGGTCACGCAATGTCGTGGATTGATTAACATTAGACATTAACACTGTTGGAGTCAGGCTCAGTGGTCTAGAGATGAAGCGTTCGTGAACGAGCGCCTAGGTCTTTGGTTCAATTTTCGCATGCTAGATTGTAGATGTCAACAGCCGAGGAGTCCCGTATTCAGACGAAACAGACGTCCAGCGCTTCCAGGTTTTCAGTGGTGGTCTGATATTGATCAGTTCATGATTTCAACAGAATCCACCAATCTCCACAGCCTCTTACTGAAATCAATCTGCGTTTCTGTTCAATGATAATCATTTTCATAAATAAGCTTGAAGACAATGTCAATGAGATTCACTCACAGACAGAATAAATTCATGTTATTATCATCAGTTAAAATGAATGTTATAAGGTTTAGTGACTACAAAACCATTAAATATATGATTTATAAGATAAGTATAACTTACTTCCAGGCATAAGACGAGGTTTAGCTCCAAGTACTGCTAAGTTTACATTGGCTTTACGACCATCAATACATGGATTAGGATCACGAATAGCAAGTAAGGCATCCTCAGTGCGAGTCATAGTTACCTAATTTTTAAAAGCAAGAAATATATATAATTTTTTATGTTGAATAAGTATCTAATGGAGTTACATTTCTGAATGTTTTATGCTATTAAGAAAAATCAGTAGTACAACAATTATTTTATTAATCAGAATCCATTTATTTATTTAGTTAAACACATGAACATTGGTACAAGGAGGCACCAAATGTATGTGCACGACACAAACCATTCGATTTGTATGAGGGCTAGAATACTACCCGGATGCCCAAACCAAACGAAGTGGTTTACTGAGGAGGCCACACCCCGAGCCTTTGACCTGGAAGTCTAATACACAAGGCAGTGAAACAACATAAGGGGATGCAGTCTCATGGTAGCCGGTAACCAATAATAGGTTCATACACCACTTGTTTCCTTAAGATCCTGGAGACCATGTGCACCATTGGTTTGAAATCAGGGTTTTCTAACACCCCTGGTTAGATCTTCCATATCCATCAACCCGGCTAAAGCGACGGATATTCTCTATCACTTTCGTAAACAACACTTCTAACACGAGGATTCGGTGAGCAGAACTTCCCTGTCAGTGACTATATACACGTGGCCTTGTGAGAGCATTTGGAGAGAGAGAGAGCGGATTATCCCTACCCTCGGTCGTATCAGTGCATTTGATGTTATATAATAAAAGACTAATTTAATCAGCTTTGAGTTTTACTAACTGTATAATGGTTTGTAATACTACCTTCCAACAGCCAGCCATGAAGTTTATGTAAACCAGAGTTCCTTTAATGAATAGAGATTAAAAGAGATGCAGTTAAAAGGTTATATCTATTCAATTGAATATTTTAACTTAAAAGCTCATTTGTCAAATTGAAATCACAAATAATACATATAACACTCTATAAATCAGTCAACTGAAATAATGTTGCACCACTGAACTCATAGAGATATATTAACTAGTGCTTACTAAACTTGTTTCATAAATAAATTCAGTCTTGAGATGGTGGAGAAGATTTGTAGCTCAGGTGGATGATTTTGATGGAGTTTTGTTCTCTGAGCTAGATGGTTTGGTCGTGGAGCTTTCATCGTTCTTCTGAACAACATCAGCACAAACGATGAAAGCTTCACGACCAAACCATCCAGCTCAGAGAACAAAACCCCATCAAAATAAAGTCAATCTACAAAATTAAAACCATTAAAAACGACTACCTAACTAGTAACGTATGACTTAGTGTTTAGTTGGAAACATGCTAAACAGCTGAAAGAACAATATTTTGGTTCCTTGTTGTTTACATTTTTTTAAAATTCTTTTTGTTGTTGTTGTTGTTATTTTCATGGTCTTTACTTCAAAAGTACACAAACGAGACAAATGTAAGACAAGACTGGACAAACTTAAACTTTCGTATTCTAGCCACGTATATGTAGGTGTATACACAATGTATTCAAGGTGAGTTTAGGCGGGGGAGGAGAAATACCATATTACTTCACGTTATAACAGGCGTTAACGATATAGAACATTCTGGTGACTTATGCATACTAGTAACGGTGATGAGTTGTGAGAGTGGAAGACAATTTATTTTCATCTACTGTTGTTTTCTTTGTCATCTTCAAACACTGTACTTGTTTGTTGTGTACATTTTAAGGTTAACAAAATAATAGAACTTTTCAAGAGACTTGTAAATGTTTATTTCAGAGACCAAGATATAAATATGTTCAAAGAAAAGCTCTTTTCAGCATGAGTTTGTGGAGATTATTAAGTTTTTGGTCGAGATCATGAACTGATTGATGTTAGACCACCATTGAAAACGTGGAAGCACTGGACAGCCGTTTCGTCCTATTGTAGGACTCCTCGGCGGTGCGCATCCACGATCCTGCCAGCGGGATTCGAGCTCAGGACTTTCAGTCCCACGCACGAACGCTTAACACCTTGACCACTGAGCCGGAATCCATCGGTGTTATTATCCAACCTCAACCAACGCCTTCCATTGTACTGAGGTAGATACTTGTCTCTACTTAACATGGATTAGCTCTACTGGTCATGGCTTCTCACTAGAACTCTTATAATTCCCTCACGAAGCTAGTCGCTAGTGAGAACATGGTAGTTATCAGTATGGGGTTATATCACGGATATGGTATGGGAACTTTGGCGATTACACATTTGTCCCAGGGCCTACCTTATCAATAACTGACTGGTATCACCACCCACCTTCGGATAAATGATAACACTAACATTCCACCGATTGTTTAATTAGAAGCTAAGTAGTATTACACCAGATGACTCTAGGCTACTTTCAAAGTAAAGAATTACAAAGTGTATACATTTGGAATTATGGCAGTATACTCAGGATATATTGCATCTGCCCATTTTTTTTGGGGGGGGGGGTTACAAAATTGGAAAAAATGACAAGTAGGGAAATCATAATACATTATTCTTAAGTAATTATAAATAAGGTCATCTAATAGATGTTTATCCCTTAACTTGAAATTTTGGTGATTTTTTAAAGAGTCACCTGATTACAGGTCACAGGAAGTTAGTATCACGTTTCATACCTAATAACTTGTATTATCATTTATGAACAAGGCTAGTATTTGACATAAAAATCAATGATCACGCTTTTAGTGAAATTTAACTAAGTTTTTAAACGAAATATTGAAAAAACGCATAGAATTGTGTTGTTGGAGAAGATTTGTAGCACAAGTGGATGATTTTGACCAAACCATCCAGCTCAGAGAACAAAACTCCATCAAAATCGTCCACCTGAACTATAAATCTTCACCATTTCAAAATCATATGAGCGTAGTACACTTCTCGTTGTTCGAAAATGGGAGAATTCAACCTAAAGGCAGGCTTCCACTCGAGAACAACTGTATTTTCTCCACGATTGTCTTCATCAGCATGTTCTACCAGCAAGTGTAAGATACAGACCTCCAATCAACTGTCCATTGGGATGGGGAATAGCTAAGCAAAGTGGAAGCAGAATGGTACACCTAATCACGATCAAACCATCCAGCTCAGAGAACAAAACTCCATCAAAGAAAATTGTGTGGGATTCTTAAATAGTAGAGCATGTCAGTTTTAGATTTTATTTCACATCACCACATTGTTATCACTTCCCAGTAGTCTATGCCTTGATGAGGATGCTTATTCCAAAGAGACCTGATAAGGAAACTGGATTAGTAATAACCTTTTTAATTTCATAGCATGGCCTCAGCTTCGTCTGATAATGATCACACATAAGCATTTTGTGAGCATTTGTTTTATTCGTCAGCTTCACAAATCTAGAGCCCAACTGCTGGTGATAGAAATCCATTTGTAAGGGTGAGGTGTACTATATTTAGGGATAACCTTCTCTAACATTTTTCCGTTGTGAGAAGGTCGTATGATTGTTAATACCGGTTTTCTAGAGGAAAAAGCCTAATGGTGTTACATCCTTATACAGTTGAAAGGATGACTCTAACTTAGGACATTAAGTTAATGGTCTTAATCCTACAGCTGTCGAACAGACCTTCTTGTCATGATATGACCCGAAGGAATGTATATTTCAGCCAGCATAGCTCGATCAGGTCATAAGCAACCACCGTGTCAAGATGATAGCGTTTAATTTTTTTACAAATGGAGTTGTGGGTTACTCATCTGTAACCCTAAATTAAGTGGTAAACTAGCTAAAAGGCAATGAACTGCCAGTCTTTGGGTTGCAAGTTCCGGTTCATTTCTGATTCTGTTTGAATAGCTAAAGTGTAGATTAAAGCTGAATATGTATAAATCCATTTGATAATTGGGTTACATTACAACGGCACCAATAGTACTTTTAAACCTTAGAAACAACTGACTAAATTTTTAATAGATGATGAAATACACTAGTTTAAAGAAGAAAATAAGGAAGCTGGAATAAAGAAACTGTTGTCTTTAACAAACATTTCACTAGTTTTAACTTTCATACATGCATGACAAGTATGAAAAAACTCTGGAAAAAAACAGAATTTACTTATAGTTGGATTCATGAACCAGTTGAATCTAGACCAAAATGGAAAACCTGGAAACACTGGACGGCTGTTCCGTTCTAGTATGGGACTCCTCAGCAGTGCGCATCCACGATCTCGCCCCGCCAGATATCGAACACAGAACCTATCGGTCTATTTGATCAGCCCGTTACCATTAAGTCACCGGATTTTCATCCATTAGTTTTTAATTACGAACTCAGACAATCGCTAATCAAATTTGAACAAAGCCTAAATTTGTTGTGTTTAATATTGACTATTTTGATGAAGCTATATTCTCTGGTTTCAGAAAGATGATTGTTTAGGTGATATTGTTTAGTATAGTAATAAAGATTTCACGATACACGGCCAAAATAATCCTACTGAGTTACAGATCTACTCAATGTTAATTAGAACATCTAGGATCTTATCTAATCACGCAGATGATTCTCCCCCTGACAACATCAAGATTCGTTTTATATGTATATTCGTGATTATGCCATTTAAAAATAGAGTAAAAGTTCTATGAACTAATACACTACGAATTCTTCATTTGACGTAGATCAAGAAAAACCAGTAGTTGAATGACTGGTATCTCAATCCTTAGTTTTAAAAAGTAACAATGTTATCAACGCTAAGAAAAGTTAGTTATATAGAGATCACATATTTTCTTTTCAATCATTTTGTAGTAAAACACGATTTTTTGTTGTTGAGGGAAATGATACGAAAACGGTGAGACTATAATTCATGGACGACCTTTCAGCGACGCTAGGCTGACCTTGAGAGTGTCCACCTAATAACCAGGATGAAATGAGAATTATAAATCAGTGTGAGGAATTAGAATTATGATTTACAGTTGATGATTAAGGTTTGGATTTAGATTCAACGTTTTCATCATGAACTGACATCAGCTGTAATGGCAAAACTCTATTTATCCAAATGGATGAATGAATTTCGCACCAAAATCCAAGATCTGTTTTCTTATACGTGATTGGTTCGTCGATAAATTATAGTCTCGCCGTGTAAACTTATGTTGTGTTGCATTATCATCTTTATATCTCTTTGATATGTTATGCAAGGATAATATCGAGACTGACACTGCATCTGTGTTATTATGTAAACATGACTGACTGACTATTATGTTAACGGGATAAGGTGATACGAAATATAATATAAACTGGTTACTACTCAAAACCATGAGACATATCTACAATTAGTTGACTAGGGATCCACTTGGTAGGGAAATATACGAACATAATACATCGTCGATGCGAAAGAAATGTCAAGAATAATAAATATAATAAGAGTAAACACAACATCCTTCGCAAAGATTTTGTTTTCCAAGAGCTTTTGTAAAATAAATGCTCCTCTGCTGGTTCACAGTGTCGTTTATTGACTGTCTATGGCCATTTGTTGACGTGATTAATTAATCACCATATAAACTAATCAAATTTTAACCGTTACATTTTACTAAAAGGATAAATATGTTTACACGAAACAACTGAATGCGATCAATGAAGTTGTCAGACAAGGTAAAGAATCAGCTATATGAGTGTGAGTGCTGTTTTGAAACAATTAGACTTTGCTACTCATCCATTCAAGTGCTTATCACTGGATACCACAATCAAAGATGTTACCACATGGTTATTTATGATAAAAATAATAATAACCTACACTACAGTTAACACTAAAAGTGATGAGACTACAATTTATGAACGACCTTTGAAAGACACTAAAATGAACTTGAGAATGTCCACCTACTTAGTACAACTAAATCATGATTATAAACTAGTGTGAGAAATTACAATTATGATTTATAGTCGATGGTTAAGGTAAAGAATTAAATTTAAGGTTTTCATTATGAACTGCCATCAGCTAAAATGCTAAGACTCTATTTAGACAAATGGATGAATGAATTCCTCTCCAAAATCCAAGACCTGTTGTTTTTAAATCTGATTGATTCAGTTCATAAATTATAGTCTCAACCGTAAAAGATTAGTTATTCTCACGCTCGCGCGTGAGAATGATACGTCCTGATCGTGGATGCGAACTGATGAGAAGTCCACAATAGGACGAAACGGTCATCCAGTGCTTCTAAGTTTTCCATAGTGATCTAGCTTCAATTGACTCATGATCTCAACCATTAATATTCTTCATTCATTAATTTTAACACTAACATCATCTACATCTCATTATTTTATTCTAATTGAGAAAATTAGACTAAATTCAATGTTAATTACAATATAAAATTTCATTTTTACAATGAAAGATTTCAATGATAATAATCAATAAAAAGTACAATTAATTTACCAAACAAACAAACATCCTACTGATCTATTTCTCAGTTTTTGTCAAAAACTTATAAAAAGAAAGAAATTTTCTCATTTGTATCCATGTGATATTCTTTATTCTTGATAATTAGTCTTTATTGATTGATTGATTGATTGTAATTTTTATATAATGCAGTTTTAAATAATGAATGCTCAAAAGAAACAAATAAATCAATTAATCAATAAATTCATTTGATATTGTTGTTTACTTGGATTTTCCCATTGATGATTAGAACTTGTGAATATCAAGACAATATGCACAGGATGCACAAATGTCAATAAGTGACTGATCAATTGCAGTCTTAAACATCAATGAGTAGATTCATGTAAACAATAATACCAAGTGAATTTAAACTTCACCTTATTGAATAAGCAAGTGTCCATCAGGACTCAGTAGCTAAGTGCACAACGCTATGGTGTTTGAAGCGAACGGTACTGGGTTCGAGTCCCAGAGTGGACATCAATCCTGAGATGCGAGTATATCCAGTTGACGAGTCCCAAAATAGGACGAAACACGCGTCAAACTGGATTCCACTGTTAGCCACTATTCATCTTTAGTTACACTTAATCAATAATTGAGAAGAAATAATAATATTACTATCATGTTTATTGTTTTTTAATCAAGATGAACAAATTTCATCAAAACATATTTGTATATGTGTATATGTACTATTGAAATACACAATATGCACACCTTCCTTAATAATTAATCTCACGTGAGAAGTTATCATGTTAAATATTTTCAAATAAATTAATAGTTAATAATCTAATAAAATGAGGGTTTTATAATTAACTATGACAAATATGGAACTAGTGGAATACATCTAATTGTATTTGATTACGATCATGAACCGATTGATGTTAGACCACCATTGAAAACGTGGAAGCACTGGATAGCCGTTTCGTCCTATTGTGTAACTCCTTAACAGTGGAAAATGGTTGCGCAATTTCGTGAATTTGTTGAAGTTAGACATTAACACCATTGGATGCCGACCGGCTCAGCGGTCTAATGGTTAAGCGTCCGTGCATGAGACTGAAAGTCCTGGGTTCGAATCCCGCGGGCAGGATCGTGGATGTGCACTTCTGAGGAGTCCCACAATAGGATGAAACGGCCGTTCAGTGCTTCCAGGTTTTCAATGGTGGCCTAACATCAGTTAGTTCATGATCTCGATCAAAAACTTATTAATCTCCACAACTCTATACTGATACATGTAATTGTAAATGTACATGTTTGTTCATCTAATGATTATTAATATCGTAGAGACTGATAAAAATGTGAAATTGTAGAGATTAATACCATTTAGAGTGAAACCTAAAATCTTTAAATATTTGAGACATAATGGAAATATCGAGGCAATTCATACTGAATACACATACTCCAAAAGGAGACTGATCTATTGAAGTCTTTAACGCCAATAATAAAGACTCAAATAAGGCCAGAGAACACACAGAGCTGGGAATTGAAGCAGACAATAGAAGAATGAATAGCTCTTGGAAACTACTGGAAAAGAAAACATCGTACAAATTTATCTGAAGAATGCTGATGGGCGGCTCTCGCTTCTTCACGAGGGTTAACAGGCGTAAGTAGTACGTAACCTAACTGATTTTCGAAAGCTTTCCTCATTTGTATAAAATATCGAAATAACTGAACTCATCAGCTTGTGTTTATCTCAAGAGAAAGCAACGAAATACAACATTAATTTTTGATATTCTACATTAAGCATAGTTATTTATGCGTATACATATTCTTTGATAATGTTAATAAACTATTATACTTCTCTTCTTTTTTTTTCTCCACCATCTATTATACTTCTCCCCCCCCCCTCCTACTCCGAAAAAGTTCAAACCCGAACCGCAGGATAAAACGTTGAAATTAACTAGATTTCAATCGCTGAGATGACATAAATACAAATATTACATTTAATTTAATTCCCATATTGCTTAATTCTGTTGTTTGCAAAGTACCATTTACATGATAATAATATTTTTTGAAGGTAAGACAATATCAATTGAGTTTTCAATAGTTACTCAATTATAATAATCTCATATTTATTTCTTAGAACCTTAATAAGATAATAAATTGATATCGAATTCGGTAAGAGAACAAATCAGATTCCAGTGAAAGAATAAATCAGGAAGAAGTGCTGTAAGTCGATAGGACATACACTGAGGAAAGCAACCAACGGTGTCACAATGCAAGTCCTCACTCGAAATCCTCAATGCCAAATGAGGTGAAGAGGAAGATCAAAGAATACATTACACCGAGAAATGTAGACAGACATGAGGAGAATGAGCAGCATTTATTTATAACTAGAAATGAAGTCAGAGTTGGATAGTGTGTGTTGGAGAATGCTTGTCACAGCGATCGATGCTCCATTGGGAATGACATGCGTAAGTAAGTAAGTGATAACTTATGGACAACTTTTGAGCGACGCCAAATCAACCTTAAGAGTGTCTACTTACTTAATAGGGCTAAATGAAGATTATAAAGCAATCTAAAGAATAAAGATAATGATTTGCAGTTGATGGTAAAGGTTTAGATTTAGATTTATGGTTTTTATCACGAAATGATATCAACTAAAATGCCATGGCATTACTGTTGTTTACGAAATTGAGAGGACGAAAAGTGAATGTCTGGCGCTTTAATCAGGTTGGTGGACATGGAGAGTTCACCTAGGGGAGTTGGAAAACCCTGATTCCAAACAGATGCTCCACATAGGCTCCAGAATCCTGAAGGAACAAATGGCGTATGAACCAATCGTTGGTCACCGGTTACCATGGGACTGCATCTCCTCACGATGCTCCACTGCCTTGTGGATTAGACCTTTAGGGTGAAGGCTCCGGGTGTGTCCACCTAAGAAAACCACTTACTTCGATCTGGGCACTCAGGCAGTATCACAGCCCTCACACAAATCAAATGAGATTTGTATGGCGTATATGTATTTGGTGCCCCCTTGTACCAATATCTATGTGTTCAAATAAATAAATAAAATGAAATAAATTTAAAAAAATATAATGAATGAATCAACAACAACAAAAAAACTTACAAATCCATAACCTCGACTTTTTCCTGTTTGTCTATCAGTAATTACAACTGCTTCATCAATTGGACCAAATTGATCAAAAAAACAACGTAAACTTTCATCTGTTGTATGATATGGTAATCCACCAACAAAAATTTTTGTTAATGTTGTATCTTTTTGATGATTGATTGACATAATAATAATAATAATTTAAATTCTATGAAAAATAGTTCCCCAAAAATGAAATGAATCACAGAAAAAAATTTTTTTTCTGTTTGTTTTTGTTGTTGTTGTTGTTGAAATTTTACAATTTTTCTTTATTTTTTATTTTTTTGTTTTTTTTCCTTGTTTTAATTTACTCTTATTTTATTCATACTTTAAATGAATGAAAGAGATTTTTTTATTTTTAAATGACACAAGTTTAAAGGTAGACTTAGGTTTCTTAATTAATGTTACTATGTATATATATATATATATATATAATTTTGTAAAGTTTAATCTTTTTAATTATCCAATAGATTGTTTCTATGTGTGCAACACGGACACACACGCACGCACGCACGCATGCACAACTCACTCACTCTCTCTCTCTCTAAAGTTTTCTTTTCGTTTTTTTTTGCTTTTTTTTATTTTGTTTTAATTTGATTGGACAATTGTTCAAATTGATATTGTGCATATAGTAAATAGCTGATTGGTCAATATGTATATGTCCTTACGATTGTATCATATATGAGTATTATAATTAAATAACCAATGAGAAAATATATCTATTTAATAGGTTAATTAAAATGTGACTATATTAATCTTTTGTTTGTGTAGTTTAATTAAGATCATGAACTGATTGTGGTTAGACCATCATTGAAAACTTGAAAACACTGAATAGCTGTTTAGTTCTATTGTGGGACAACTCAGCAATTCACATCTATGATCCAACACATGGGATTTGAACCCAGAATCTTCGGTCTCGCACGTGAACGCTTAACATTCAGACCATTGAGCTGGTATTCAATGGTGTTAATGTTCAACTTGAACTAATCCACGAAATTGCGTGAACATCATTCATTGTACTGAGATAGACACCTGTTTCTACCCGACACGGATTAGCTCCACGTGACCAGTGGAGCTAATGTGTCGTTTAATTTCGTGGATTGGTTGAGGTTAGACATTAACACCATTGGATACCGGCTCAGTGGTTCAGTAGGTCAAACGTTCGCGCGCGAGACTGAAGGCTCTGGGTTTGGATCCCACGGGCAGGATCGTGGATGCGCACTGATGAGGAGTCCCACAATAGAACGAAACGGCTGTTCAGTGCTTCCAGGTTTTCAACGGTAGTCTAACATCAATCAGTCTATGATCTCAATCAAAATCATTCATTGTACTGAGGTAGATAACTGTCTCTATCTGACATGGATTAGTTCCATTGGACACGGCTTCTTACTAGAACTCCAAGAACTCCCTCACAAAGCTAGTCACTATTGAGTACATGGCATTAGTAATTAATATCTAAACCAACGACCTATTGATTATCAGTCTCATTATTATCAGAACGAGGTTTTGAGGATAATATAATAATTTAATAGTTGAGTTCATGATTCAATTGAAGCTAGATCACCATAGAAAATCTGGAACCACTGGACGGCCATTATTTCTAAACCTCAATACAAAAGTTTCAGATAAAATGTACCATATGTCTGATATGTTGCTATAACAATTTGATAGAGTTTATGTAATATTAAGTTTATTTTCATTAATAAAACACAATACTAAACAATTATTCAAGCCATTTTCAAGTCCCATAATAGCAACAGTAATCTATCCTAGTTCGGAGCAGGTACACCGATAATCGTCTTGAATGATTACTCCAAACTCTTAAATAGGGGGTACATAAATTAGTTAAAGAATCGTAAGGAGAGGTTTGGTTAAAGATGGCCCTGAATATTTTACATTGAACTACATAACTGAAATGTAATGGAATTACTCGATTTCAGGATGTTCGATTATTCCACTTAACTGTCAACTAGTCATACATATTAAAGACTAATAGTGATTTACACAGTTAAATGTGAAGTAAAGGAAAATAAAAACCTGATATTCTTTTGTCATTTAAATTGAAAATTAAAATGCTTAAGTAAATCTGCTCATCTCCCAACAAGTGATTCCATTATTAATCAAAGAATTCTACTTAGTAATTAAAACACTAATTCTTCCACAACCGGAAATAATAAACAAGGTCAAATATCGTCATTTCAACGCTTGAGACTTAATCAATAACTGTTGTTATATCTGCGTCAGCTATAATTTATACCTGAAAAACAAGAAACCACTACAATTCCCACGACGCGAATTAAGAACACAATCGATTGGTACAAGTGAACAGTTATTTACTCAAAAACACGATGACCTTAGTTGAAAATACACTCATTTAGGTATTATTATTATTAATGACTTTATTCACTATTCCCTCTTTGGTTCAATAAAGAGTTCTTAGCACATAGTATGTCAATAAGTTTCCTTTTCTTATTTCTTGATCGATTTGTAAACTCGATTATTGATTAGAAAAGAGATACATACATATAAAATCATAACAAAATCTCATGTGTCATGTCATACTGAACAGAAATCATGTTGAATTCACTTGGTATTGTTTACTTGAATATTCCCATTGATGTATAGGATTGCAATTGATCAGTCTCTTATTGGCATATATGCATACAATGCGTATTGCCTCGATATTGTCTTAATTCACAAGTATTATATGCAGAGATGGATGGTGGCTAATAGTAGAATCCAGTTTAACGCGCGTTTCACTCTATTTGAAACACGTCAGCTAGATGTACCTCCATCCCAGAGTTGATCTTCACTCTGTGACTCGATCAATTGCACTTCTAACCATCAATGAGAAGATTCATGTAAACAATAATACCAAGTGAATTTAAACTGCACATCATTGCACAAACAAGTGACTATCAGGATTCAGTAGCTAAGTAAATAACGCGATGGTGTTTGAATCGAACGGTACTGGGTTCGAGTCCCAGAGTGGACATCAATCCTGAGACGCAGGTACACCCAGCTGACGAGTCCGAAATAGGGCAAATCGTGCGTCAAACTGGATTCCACTGTTAGCCACTATCCATCTTTGCTTATATCGATAATATAGTTTCTTGTTGAAAATGTCAAATGACGTCGGTTAAAATCTTATTGGAATCTCCTGTAACGCCTTGTTGATGGGTAGTATATATATACTATTCATCAACAGGGAGTTACAAGAAAACTATCAACAAAATCTAGGCAAATAGGTTTAATAATGTTTGCTTTCAACTAACTAAAATGCGACAGAATTATACCGGTTTGTTTAATTAAGTAAATTAATTAAATACCATCTACATAACACGTCTAAACGTGTACATTGTCATAGAACAGTGGTGAACAACTAAAAATTTAACACCCATTTATTTAACTTAAAAATAACAACAAAATGGCAAATTTGTTAACTGTCTCAATTCAGGAATCTGTCAAATAAATAAATTCTGAAGTAATTTAATAGTTGAATTCATCAATCGATTAAAGCTAGATCATCATGGAAAATATGGAACCACTGGACGGCCGTTCCGTCATAGTATGGGACTCCTAAGCAGTGCGCATCCATGATCCTTCTCTCAAGACTCGAACTCGGAACCTTCGGCCTCTCACATGAATGCTTGACCTCTAGACTATTGAGCTGGCATCCAGTGGTGTTAATGTCTAACTTCAACCAATCCACGAAATTAAGCGACACATTCATCATTGTCTTCAGTGAGTTACTGCTGTACAACAGACACTAATGAACTCCACTGAACACGGCTTCTCACTAGAAATCCAAGAAATACCTCTTTAAGTCAATCACTAATGAGTATATGATGATTATTATCATGAATTTGACTATTAAATTATTACAGTCTCCACAAATCCTCTTTCTGATAAATGCTGAAGTATTTATAAATTAATTGTTTAGTGTAGAGTTATGATAAGCAGATCTAGAATGAACACAGTAATAAAATATATCTACTGGAAATTTGAATAAAAAGGACGATATCTTCAAAGTATACTAAACTCTTATAAAAATGTTAATCAATTGATTGGAGTTGATAAAGTTAAACTATTATATTTCAATAATGTCCTTAGTACTGAGAACCATATACAAGACGTTAAGTTTCTAAGTGGGGATCCTAAGGTAGATGCGTTTTCACAAAACTTGAAAGTACTGTATTTGATTGTGAAGATGTCTACACCTCCATATTTTTCAATCGTAACTTAAATTATGTCAATCTGTAATGAACAATTACAGCAGTGAATTTGTCTGAAGTTTAGTGGAGATTAGTTTAATTTTTACGCCATATTCCTCCAAAACGTATCTCATTTGAGGCTTCATCGACAAGGAATGAGCGTCCGCTTAGACACCCAGAGGCTCGGGTTGTGGTTAAGAGGTATTTATTAGAATGAACAAGCTGTTCATTGTTTCCTGGAACTCTGAATGAGACTAACCTATATCATGTACAACCTAGCTGTTAGTTCGTTGTTTAAAATTAGTTAAATCTAAACTCTGTACAATAAATATTTATAAATTATTTTTCTCTTGGTTTTATCTTAGCCAAACTACCATCTCAAATGATAGTCAACAGAATAACTTACGCTTCAGGTTCTCATATCTTTTAGTTGTACTTGTTGAAAGACTATTGTGTTTATGGCGACAGATTTAAGTTTCAGAATGAGAAAATCAAAATAGTCGGAAAATTCAATTTCAGTCACTAAGTACTACAGTCTGAAATTCGGGCTCAGCCCCACTGAGCTATCCCGGTCGCGACCGACCTCCTGTAGGAATGAGATGTAATCACAATTGATTTATTACTGGGTGGTGAACAATATCATGTGCAGATCAAATGTTATCGACCAGGTCGCAATTTGGCCACCAGTCTAGGTGACTCGACACCGCGTGCACTATCCGTCAGGGAACATCAGTTCCCTCAAGATTACAGGTACACCTTGCTGACGAGTGCCATGTAGCACAAAACCCGGGTCCAGAGTTTCCTATCTACCACATCCAAACAGCATCTAATCTCAACATAGTGCACGCAGCGTCGAGTCACCTAGACTGATGGCCACATTGCAATCTGGTCGACAGTATTCGATCTGCACTAAGAAGGACTTGACACACGTGACATTGATCACCACTCAGTGATCAATGAATTGTGTAAAGCTTTTACTGTTTATTTGATTAATGAAACAAACGTTACTGAATTTTTGAATATTAAGATGCAAATCTACTGGATGTAGATACTTAACACACACGCACACACACCTACACACTGATATACTCACACACATTATAGATATCCATACATTCACAATCATCATCACAACAACTACCGAATGTTTTAAAAATAAATGGAGCATGTTTATCAGAGCTATTATGACCATTATTA